TAAGCATCCTACATATCTTACTTGTATGCCCTTTGTATGACCAAGAACGCCACAGACACTTTGCTAAGGTTTACCAAGAGCATACACCCTTACATCTCGCCCTTTTACTCAGCGATGAGCCGTTGATTCCACACAAGTGTGTTTTCAACTTTCTTAAGGATATAAGACTCTTGGACCAGCTATAATTTTAATAGTTAATCGCATTCATTGCCACATCTTAAGCGCTTGTACTTTCATGATCACTGTTTTATTAAATTACAAGCTACTATAGCTCTTTCTTCTCTTCCACCTTGATTCAGCAATAGTCCTAGTTGTTGGCGCATTATAGTCTTGGTCGCTGCTGCGCCATTAAACCCCAATCAATCAATCAATCAATCAGTCTCAAATGGTACGTGGCTTGGGTCTAAACTTTGCGTACTAGCCCTCTTCTGGAACGGAGCTTGTTTCAATACTTGCAGGAGCTTTAAAATCCAAGAAGAGGGCAGTTCACCTTCATATCGCTTACGGGTGTACAATAAATAAATAAATCAGTATGATGTGTCATTACGCCATTGGCAGGTTCTGTCCTACAAGTCGCTATTGTCTCCTGACGGACACTCATTCGTGTGTATTGTTTCGAATTATGCGGAATAATAATAATAATAATAATTAATAGTATTACTATTATTTTATTATTAAAGTCAAGACACTTGTGACAGGGTGCAAATTGTTGTTTTTCTTAGTTTAGCATATATATATATATATATATATATATATATATATATATATATATATATATATCGCTCAACCTGTATGTGTTTGTCGGTTTTCTGATTTTATTTTCCTCACGAATAATTAACTGAGTCATTCATAACATTTCTTAAAACCAAATGATACCTACAAACGGTAAACTTGGGTTGTCGCTAGCGTTCCGGTTCCGTAGATGCTCCAGCATTCTACACTCAAACTTCCTTGTTTCCAGGCTTAAATATTACTGACATTCACGTATTTTGTCGATCCTTCAAACGACGCGGACAACAAAAGTAAATATATCAGAAGAAACGTTTTTGCCCTTATGAAACACCTCAACGTATATCTTCTCAGGTTGGCTTTATAAAAAGGCTCATGGAGATAATTTCTCGCTTCGCAATCTTAAATTTGAGCGAGTACAAAATCAAAGATCTCACCGCCAGTTTCATTGCGCCACCGCGGCGGCATCACGCATGCGTGGGACGCTTAGTGAAATCGATATACTGGTACTCCAATAGCCTTCTCTATAGTGACATAGCCTGGCAAATCGCCACGAGACGCGGCCGCCGAAATTGAAAGCGTAAAGCGGCAGACAATGGATGACAGGAGAGCCAGGTGACGGGCGCCCTGCTGCGGGGAGACGCCGAAATATCCTTTTCCCGTACAATGGAATGTCCGCTCGTGCTCCTCGCAGTCCTCGCGCTACCAATTCTTTTCTCGTCGGGTTCGAAAACCATGATTTGGGTCCTCGCCGCTGCAAAAGCTGTCAGCTGACGACCAGGTTTCCCGAGAAATGATATGTGCTACGAGATCCTCGCGCTTTAGGTTTGCGACCGGGCACCCTATGGATCCGTTGTCGAACTGCCAGGCCTTGTGAGTATAGAGAAGGCTATGGCACACCACACGTTGGCGTGTACTGCTGTTTCCTTTGAGTTGATATTTATTTCAGTTTGGACAGAGCGATTAAAATGTTTGAATCTCCGTTTAGCCCTTAGCAAAAATCGGGTAAAACCCCCAAATAGATCTTATTCGGAGCGCAAGTTCGTCTGATTCTTTTGCGGGGGCTATGGCTATGTACATCGGAACGCCGAGCTCTGTTTCGTATGTTTACGTTTCGTATGTTATGTTTGTTCGTATATATCTCAACCGTTTCGGATGCTTCGAATGACTGTCTCGTCATTACCCCAGCTAAGGTGGTATACCTAGCTAAGGTTATTCTACACTGGCTATTATTCTACACTGGCTATATTATTCTACACGAATAACCTAGCTAAGGTTATTCTACACCGCAACATAATCAGCGATTATGTTGCGGCACTAAGAAAGCTCGCCGTCGATTGCAACTTTGGAGTTCCGACAACCGCAACAGCCAGCACCAGCGCCAGCACCAGCACCAGTGCGAGCGGCGATGAGCCGGTCACCGCATCGTCCACAACAATGCTACCACTGGAGGTGATGCTACGGGATAGGTTCGTATGTGGGATTGCGGACGAACACCTTCAGCAAAGACTATTTGCAGAGCCGGACCTAACATTCCAGAAGGCGTATGATTTCGCATTGAGAGCAGAGAGTGCTGCAAGACAGCAAAAAGACGTCAAAGCTCAAAAGACCACCATTAACGCCGTAACCAAGGGTCAAAAATCAACAGTACGTGAAAACCGGAACCTAGGCAAGCAAAAGAAACAGGACTTCGTATCAAGTGAACAACGATGCCATCGCTGTCACGAACAACACGTCGCAGCTACATGCAGATTCCGCACGGCACGCTGCAATTTTTGCCGAAGGACCGGACACATCGAAAGGGCGTGTTATCAGAAGACTGAAACAAATCAACGGCGGCGATCAACACACGCGGTTAGTCATGATGAGTCAACACCTTCGAGTGATGACGAGGATACCCAAAACTTATACGAGCTGAACAGCGTAAATTATACCACGTCGGTGAAGAAGTTCATGGTCTCACTCAAAGTCGAAGGACGACCCATGGAGTTCGAAGTGGACACCGGAGCTGCGTGTTCCATCATCAGTGAAGACACATACAGGAAAACCTGGCCTAAGAATGCCTTTTCACTGAACAAAGAACATATCACGCTCCGACCATGGGCAGGAAAACAACTACAAGTTCTCGGGTCGGCAGAAGTGCGCGTCCGACACAAGTCAAAAGACTATCTGCTCCCGCTAATCGTGGCCTCAGGTTCGGGCTGCAATCTGCTTGGGAGAAACTGGTTCCCGGCACTCAATATCAGAGTCAGCGGGATATACCAGCTTGACCAGGGCAAGACCCTTCATGACGTGTTACTGACACACGAGGAAGTTTTTGATCCAGAGATAAACGGGCACAAGGGCCACGCGGTACATCTGGAGCTGAAGGAAGACGCGACACCGCGCTTTTTAAAGGCTCGACCGGTTCCTTTCGCAATGCGAACCGCAGTGGAGGCAGAACTGCGGATGCTCCAAAACCAAGGCATAATCGAGCCGACGCAGCACTCCGACTGGGCAACACCGGTGGTGATCGTACGAAAGAAGGACGGCACTATACGGATGTGTGGAGACTATAGGAGCACGGTGAACGCGGCGGCAAAACCAACGGTGTATCCAATGCCAACGGTAACGGACCTTCTGGCAAGTGTGCAGGGAGGCACCATATTTTCGACGCTGGATCTCACTCAGGCATATCAACAGCTCCACGTGACAGCAGAGACAGCAGATGTGCTCACCATTAACACTATCAAGGGACTATACAGGGTTAAACGAATGCCTTTTGGAATTTCGGCTGCACCAGCGATTTTCCAACGCTACATGGAGACAATCCTGGCAGGACTACCCGGCGTGGGAGTCTACTTGGATGATGTTATTATCAGCGGAACCACAAAAACAGAGCACCTTGAGCGTCTCGAGGCAGTTTTGAGCAGGTTGGTGAACGCCGGGCTTCGCATAAAAAGGTCAAAGTGCCATTTCGGTGTCGAAGAAGTGAAGTTTCTGGGACACAAGATAAATGCAACGGGAGTACACACAACAGAAGAAAAACTGAGAGCAATCAAAGAGATGCCGGAACCGACCAGCCGGGCCATGCTTCAGTCTTTTCTAGGACTCCTGGCATTTTATGACCGCTTCATTCAGAACCGAGCATCAATAGCCAAGGTGCTGTACATGCTACTTGAGAAAGACGCTCCATGGCAGTGGGGTGCACGACATCAGCAGGCGTTTCTACAACTGAAAGAAGCCATCGCGGAACGTACAGTTCTAGCACATTATGACGACAATAAGCCGCTGGTATTGTCGTGTGACGCATCACCATACGGCATCGGTGCGGTACTGGCGCACCTAGACAAAGACGGAAACGAGTCTCCCGTAGCTTTCATTTCTAGAACATTGGGAAAGGCCGAGGAAAACTACTCCCAGTTGGACAAGGAGGGTTTAGCTATAGTTTACGCTACAAGCAGGTTCCACCGCTACATTTCCGGTCGACATGTTACCATCACAACGGATCATCAACCACTACTGGGGATTCTAGGTCCACAAACTCCGGTTCCGCCCATTCTTTCGCCACGCATGAAAAGGTGGTGCGTTAAGCTCACGGCCTATAACTACGATCTAGTCTACCGACCAGGAAAACAAAATCAGAATGCAGACGCTTTGAGCAGACTACCTTTACCGGCAAGCGACGACGAGCCACAGCCTCCCGGAGATGTGCTCATGCTGGAAGCGTTGACCAGGCCACCGATTACTGTCGAGAAACTAGCAGACAAGACAAAAGAAGACGCTATTCTTTCCCGTGTGTACGACGCAGTTCAGAGTGGAAATTTCAGGAGCCTTAAGGAAGACATCTTTCAACCATTCAGGAACAAGCACACTGAACTAGCGACACAGCGAGGATGTTTGATATGGGGATCACGTGTGGTGATACCAGCGTCTCTGCGGCCTGAGTCCTTGAGTCTTGTACACTCAGGACATCGTGGAATCGTGGCCATGAAAGCCTGTGCCAGAAGTTACATGTGGTGGCCAGGAATTGACAAAGATATTGAATTATGTGTGGCGGAATGTGCCCAATGTCAAACAAACCAGAAAACCAAGATAAAAGTACCGATGACAAATTGGGAACGACCATCAACAGCCTGGGATACACTTCACATGGACTTTGCGGGTCCAGTGGAAGGGAAAGTATTTCTGGTCGTTGTAGACGCATACACCAAGTGGCTGGAGGTGCGAGTAGTTAGCAGCATGGCATCAAGCGCTGTAATCAAGGAGCTGCGGGGATTATTCGCCACATTTGGAGTGCCAAAGAAGGTTTGTTCAGACAACGGGGCTGCGTTCATCTCAGAAGAAATTGCGACGTTTTACCGCATGAACAACATCATCGCAGTCACGAGCGCACCTTACCACCCGGCAACCAACGGGCAGGCTGAGCGGATGGTACAGGAGCTCAAACAAGCTGTATCTAAAAAAGGAAGGGAAGACCTCTCGTGCGTGTTGTCACGTTTCCTATTCAAGCAACACACGACAGTGCACGCAACAACGGGCAAGACTCCTGCGTGGATGATGTACGGCCGAGAATTGCCTTCTGCACTGGATCGACTCAAGTCATCCCTCTTCAAGCAGTTGCCGGAAGAAAACAGCGATATCCACAAATTTACTCCTGGACAACCCGTGTGGATTCGACAGTTCCCGAACGAGCGAAAGTGGATGCCGGGGTCCATCGCACGCCGCGCCGGACCACGATCCTGGATGATTGACACAGAGCGGGGTCAAGTCAGACGACATCTAAGCCATATTCGACATCGCGCTCCGGATTCGAGCTGCTGGGAGACACAGCCGCCACCACCAGTTTGGGACATGTGCTTACACGATCGCCGGGGCACACATTCGGGCGCGAATGGTTCAGAACAAACAACTAAACAGCACAGCACAGACGACGACGTTCGCCCATTACCAACAGTGGGATCTGCCTTGTCAACCGCGACGCGGGTGAGCTCCCGGGCGCGTCGACCACCGGACAGATACGGTGCCCACGTCTAAGGAGGAAGGGGTGTGATGTATCTACCGACACACGGCCGGCGGGCAAGTCTGCGAGCGCTGCGCACGAGCGCGTGGGTTTGTCTCGAGAGCTGGCTGCGCTCTCGTGAGACATATAAAAAGCAATCTCAACCGTTTCGGATGCTTCGAATGACTGTCTCGTCATTACCCCAGCTAAGGTCGTATACCTAGCTAAGGTTATTCTACAGAGTCTGATTCAAGGAAGGTGGGCATACCTCAAGGCAGCTTGGTTTGAGGTCTACGTACTATCTTTCAATCAAGGTCAATCAGAGCTGGGCGTTATGACGTCATCAGGACCCCCGCAAAAGAAGCAGACGAACTTGCGCTCTGCATTATGTAAATTATGATTGCAACTTTCTTGCAAACGTTGATTACTTTCACAGCATGTTTAGTATTTCTAATTCCAGTAAAACACTGAAGATCGTCCTTCTGGAGTGCTCAGTGGCCTAATCGAACACCTAGATGGGCTCACCTTCCCGCACTGTAAAAATGTCACAATTTTCATGCACCAAAGTTCTTTCTATTTTCACAGCAAATATTTGAATGTTTATTGAGTTAATCGAGAATTACCGTAGTGCTGTCAGTAGTGAGCATCCCAGGCTGGTATCCCTCCCGACTGAGAAAACGACTTGAGAAAATCTTGACGAACATTGAGACAACACTCATCGTATGCAAAACAGGAGCAATCAGCTGAGATGTCTAGGCTGTTTTGCCTAATGGGCAGTAGCTTATTTAGTAAAAATATTTAAACTAAAGGCGACGTATAGTTGACTTACATTATTTCCAGCTCTGAATGTTGGAATGTTTTGTTATCAGCCGACAAAAATCTCCCTGGAGTCGTGTTTATTCTGCCGCCAGGTATTCCTTCTTTAACGTCCCTCTCTACAATATGCTTGAAAATTGCGCTTGGCACAAACTTGAGATAACTTGCTAAAGAATACGCAGAGGTTTCAGCCGGAGGCGTGAAGCACTCACGGCCAGAGCACGTTGTATACCTCATTGCGGCAGCGCTATGAGGGGGTAGGGCTTACCTCGGCACATTAACGTCGAGCGGGCTTTTCAAAAAGCGAAAGCGTGTATTTTGATATATCTTTATTTGATGTCGAAAATCATAAAGAGCCTTCATTAAATTTATCGACAGCCACTGATAAACCTGGACGCAAACATATTCGAATGTCAAAAACTCGAGCATAAGTGTGGAATGATGGCCGAAAAGAAACACTGATGGTTGCAGATCTCGTCCTATGGTTTTCAACAGCAGGGAAATACAGATAAATTGAAACAAAAAGAGATATATAATATATACTAACTGAGGTAAGCGATAATATGAAGCCAAACACAAGTGTCCTAAATAAATCGCCCCCAACCACCCCCTCCCTAAACGCACACACACACACACACGCACACACACGCACACTCACACGTACACGCAGCACACAGACACATACACACACAAAAAAAGGCGTAGCCGGTGGCATTGGAAGAGAGGAGGAGTAGGGGCAAACACTTTCTACCTGTTTTTTTTTTAATCCCCTTTAGACTCCGCCGGTATTGATTCTTTTCTTCATTGCGTTGCGCGGTTGGCACCTGCAGGGTGCTGTCAGATGCATGAATAGCTGCGCGTGCATCTTAAAAAGTGAAATAATTAAACATTAATGTCGCTAGCACACCATTTTGTGGATCAAGGTACTTCAATTTCAGTGCATTACGATGCCCATGGCGAATCTATCCTCCTCTTGACTGCCATATTGGATTTCCGCAGAGTATACACCTTTGCAAAAAGAACTCTCTGGCTGCCGCCATTTTGCAACTTCAGCGGCACCTATAAATCAAAAATTTCTGCCACCCGCCTGAGCTGTGGACACCCGGTTAGCGCGGCTCCCAACCTGTAGTGTGCATTTCGTGTTCGCTGGCTATTTTTTAAAATGTTTACGTTAGTTGCCTGCTCATGATGCTTACGCGTTTTATGTTATCTTACACTGTGAGAACCAGGGAATCCCAGGGCTCGTAGCCTGCTTGACTTTCACAGGAAACGGACAAAGTAAGCGAACGTCAAGCAGCCCGCGACGCGGGCCCTTCGACATTGGTCCAGGATTATTTCCTTTGACATAACCTCCGAAAAGACTTCCCGGCTATGTTCCTTTTTCCTCGCGAAAATTAGTTTTAAGGTCTAGTCCGAGATATTGGATAGAATGGACACGTCCGTTCATTTGCTATAATGTTGTGCAAAAAAAAAAAAAGCAGTTCTTTTTAAACATGTGCTTTAAATCAAGCCGGATTCCGTCTCATCGTCGTGAAGTGAGTGTCGACGACACTCTATATTATATATGCTGTTTTATTTCACACCTTTTTAAAAACGTTTTCGGATAACAAGAAGCCGTGGGGTACGAACCGTATTTGTTCTTCTATTAACGAAAATCGTTGAATTTCAAATCGTCCCATGCATTTCGGCTATCCGTTGTGGTAAAATATATTCGACAGTTAAGAGCTTTGTAGAACGACACGGTGAGTGTATGGTGACGTAAAGTATCAACAAAAAATGAAACATTCATTCCAATTAAATTCGTTCTGTCGCGCACGAGCTCTCCAAAAATAGCTTTCATTTGTTTGTTTTTGTTCCCAAAAATAGTACAATGCTTTCTTAAAAACCTCGAAAAATTCTATACGCATAAAGCACAAAATAAAAAAAATAAAAAAAAAAAAAACTTGGCAATATAGTTTCCCCCAGCGTCTGGATTTTCGCCTATGCAGACTGCAACAGCCTACTGAGGAGAAAACCCACAGCCCAGTGCAGGTGGGAAACACTGACGTACACTCTCAAAACCAGGGACGCGCGCTCTAAATCGCTTTGTTTGAAGACTGCCGCTGGAACTTGGGGAATATCCACACTTCAGCTGTAGAGTCTTATACTTCGTTTCAGCTTAAGCATAGACGCAGTCGACGCTCCAAGCGCGAGCTCGTGGCCCTGAACAGTGCTTGCACTGCACGAGCTCGCGTGCTCAACAGGGACGCTGAAAGCCTGGAGCTGGCTCCTGTAACTTCTGCTACTTTTACAAATAATAAAATAAAATAAAAAAAGCCTAAGGAGATTTAACAAAAAAAAAAAGAAAAGTTAGAGGTGAGTTATAGAGTATTTTTCCCCGTGAATTTGAATATCACGTTCTCTTTTTCCGAATATCTAACTAAACGTGAGAAAACACGAAAAACCTCCCATCAGTCGATGCGTCATAAAATGATCTTTCGGCCAAGTGCGGTTCGCTCGTGTGGGCAGCGCCTGCAATTGGAACCTTGACAGGCAATAGCAGTGAGATGTTTCTGTGGCTCCCCCCTATGGTTTCCTCTTGTGACGCCATTATCTTCCAAATATAAGTTATATGATGTTTGTGATTAGCATGGTGGAGGCCTGAAATCATTGCGCTCTGAAAGCAACACTGTGGACACCACCAAGGTTGAAGTTCCTCCATTACACTTACTTCCGTCGATGAGAAATCCTTTGCTGGCGTCATGGTCAGCATAAGGTCAATTCTGGAAGGCCGACCACAGAGACACTTTTGTTCGCACACATAGCCAATATCCCGCACTGACACCAGACGTGACGTCTTTTTCTGACCTTTTTTAAAAGAGCAAAAATGCACGTGCATAGCTTTGGTAGGCGCTGAAACTGCGCGAGTGCAGAGATTCCAAAAACTTATTTTATGGCGGAACGCTCCGGGAAGTAGGGGCTTCTGCGGTACTTTGTTTTTTTTTAGCGTGTTTTTACTCAAATACAAAACTACTTCAGTTTTCCTTATTAGTGGAACGGAGAATAAGAGCGAGCGACGCAGCTTCACGAGGTATAGCCCATATCAGTGGTTCTCAAGCATGGGTGTGTTGGGGACACATTGGAGACCCGCCAGAGTAAAGGGGGCCCCATGCCAGTGGGGGAAGGGGAAGGTGGGGGAGGGGGAGGAGGTATAATAGTAAAAGAAGACAACTAATTGCAGTGTGAAAGGCTATCCTGTACTGTTGTAGACAAGAAAAGTGAGAAGCATCAAGTAAAAGGTAAATGGATGGTTAGATGGTAACGGCTGCACCTTTATAACGAGCAGCTTGTTATGGTCAACAAAAAACAAATTTGTTCAAAACAGATGGGGAGGGGCAGGTAGTGTTGAGGCGAGGAATTCGCGCACCCCAGCTGATCTGCAAAACCCCATTTGATAATTACTGATTTATATGCCATAAACGCTGTTGAGATTGACGAGTTCTCCCGGCATGCCTGGAGAACTCTTCGGTCCCCACAGCCCCCATATATTATAAAGGTCAGGCCATGACAGGAACCGAAGGACGACTCCAGGCAGAAACAACAGGAGTCGGACGGTTGTCTCATGATAAGATATATTTAATGCATATTGATAGAAGTATTTACAATGTCCGAGAGCGCAGTATCGAAGTAGTTAGCTGCTTTTTTTTTTTAACTGGTCACTTTGCCCCACCCCCTAGTAAGGAATCCCGACAATAGGGAGTTTTAGCAGGTCGTTTCCACACGAACGGTTCGCCCTCGAACGCATCCGCGACGCCACGGCGCATGCGCGCGCGAGTCGTTCGGGAAGTCGGAAGGCTCTTCTCGTTCGTTTCTCCCATTCCGGCCGCTGGATTCGTCACCGGAACGCAGCCAGCACCGTTCACGACTCGGGTAAAAAAAAGATGGCGGTCGGTTCGGCGACCGCCTTTGCCGACCCAGCCGAGCGTTAGGCCTAGGGACAGCGGGAGGCGATTTGCCGTCCTGTTAGTCTGCTTCATTTGAGAGGTTGAAACAAATCATTTCGAGAACTGCTCACAATCGTAAGCGATTGTGAATTCTGTAAACTGCGCATGCTAGTAAATTTTAGCGATCTGCGGGCAGACTAGCTGCCGCGGTGACCGCGAGCAGACGAAATGATTTGGTTCGATGGCACACAACGTTCACGATCGTTCAAGTTCAAGATGACGGAGACACACCACAT